GACTGATGCTGAAGCTGAAACTCCAATACTGTGGCCACCTGATTCAAAGAACTGACTCATTTGAAAAGACCCTGATGCTGGGAAAGATTAAAAGGCAGAAGGAGAAGGGGGTGACAGAGGATGAGATGGTTGGATGGCATCACTGACTCAATAGACATGAATTTGAGTAGCTCCAGGACAGGGAAGTCTGGCATGCTGCAGTCCATGGGGTTGAAAAGAGTTGGACATGACTGATGACTGAATTGAACTGAACTGATACCAAAGGAATGATTTCAATGAGCCCAGACTCTTGCATCTTCCCATACCTAGAAAAGTGCTAAATTCCTTAACTTGGGAATATCTGGTTTTAATTAACAATAATCTCTTGATGTTCAGACTATCTATCCTTCACTGCAAAACTTCTAGATAACCTGGCTCTTCCTCTCACCTCCTTGGAGCAGTTCTCTCAGAGTCACTTGAGATGCTGACTCCCAGGCTTGAAGTCCTAAAAATTCCCACCAAGTAAAACATAACTCTCAACTTTTAGGTTGTGAATATTTTTTAAGTTGACAGAAACTACAAAACTTTCCCCAGAGTTCATATTAGTAAGTGGAGGAAAGTCTAACTCTCTTGCGCTTCCTTTTCTCCATCTCTCAGCTTCACATAATGATTTCTTCACCATTGCATACAGGATTTATGTTTATGGAGCGTAGGGAATCACTGGCGAGTGATACAGAAGAGCTGGCCATTCTACTGGCACTGATTTCTTTAGCAAGCTGGGTGGTGAGCACATAAATGTATAGCTAATTTCTTTTATATCTTAAATATTTCAAAAATACCTTTTTAAAAAAGAGAAGGGGGCAGATAGAATCGAAAACTCGTGACAGTTTCTTAAAGATGTTAATTAAGTATTTTTAAAAAATAGATCAGCAATGAGAAAGCAGGAAATACATTATTGTTAACATTTATTAAGCACATACTATGTCCTAGATAGTTTTTTAAAATCTATCTCTATGTCCTAACTTATCTCACTCCAACATGCTACCAATGAGGTAGATATAATCATTATCCTTATTTCAATACAAGATCAAAAACTGAAGAAAGATTCAATACATTATTTAAAGTCAAGTAATTTATAAAGCAGAAAAACTAGATTGGAACAAAGCACTCTGGTTTCAGGATGTGTACACATAAAATCCATCACCTGGCAATATCTCCCCTAAAAAGGTGAAGGACGAGTCAGGTTTGCAGCGATGGGTCAAAATCTCTCAGGCATCTCCTGCTTGTTACATTCCTTACAGGTTTGCATGTGGTTCTGCAGGGAATTCAAAACAGCTTTCTTGCAACATTGACAGCAAAAGAGATGATGTGCTTGGCAGAAGTTTCAAAAACATATTTAAATATACGGGTTTGACTTCCTTGGACTGGTTGAAGGGGTAGGTGAGAAGAGGGTTCTACTTTTGATGGAAACTTCTTTGGCAAGTCCGGTGGAGTCAGGGAAGGATTTAAGAATTCTCGAAGGTCAAGTGATTTCGTTGAGTTGGGATTTCGCTGCGGCTTGCATAGGTAAGCTATAAGAACACAGTGTGGAATTACTGCTGTTTCTGCTACACACACACACACACACACACACGCCCCAGTTCTCACACACACACACACACGCCCCAGTTCACACACACACNTTTTTAAAGTTTAAACCTTTTATTATGTATTGGGGCGTAGCTGACTAACAATATTGTTGTAGTTTCAGGTGAACAGCAAAGGGACTCAGTCACACACACACACACACACACACACACACACATATGCGCCCCCCCCGCCCCCCCACACACAGAGTTCAGACCGCGATGTACAGAACCCAGGTGGGATTCCCACCACGGAGGGCGGAAACGTCCCAGAGAGCCCTAGACCGGCTGCCTCGCGCATGCGCCACAGCGCGCTCGGGTGGAGGACCGCCGCCAGGGGACGCCCCCGCGCGGCTCTGCCCCTCTGTCCGCTCCCCGCCCCTCGCTCCCCCGCGAGCAGAGAAGGCGGAAGTCGGGGTGTCCACCTCTGGGGCTCGGGCTCCGGGCGCCCAGAGGACGCAGCAGTGGCGGCCTTCAAGTTAGGAGACTGGCTTTCCGGCCACTTCGGCGCGGAGCGCGGCGCCTTCCTCTCCTGGCGCCTTGGCTGAGCGGAGTCGTGCGGCCGGGTGGAGTCGGCGGCCCAGCGAACCCGAACGGTGAGTCTTCTGACGGCTCCTGGAGGTCGCGGCCTCGCTCCCCACGAGCGGGGACGTCTCCTTCTCTCCTCTCGCTTCCCACGGGTTGGGGTCGCAGCGCCTGTCCCCTGGCTTCTGACGGGTTTGGGGATGCCGCCCGTGTCCCCTCGCTTCCCGAGGGCTGGGGACGCCGCCTCCTCTCCCCTAGGCTCCTACAGGTTGGGGACCCCGCCCCCTGACCCCTCCGCTCCGCCGGCCAGCGGCACCTCCTCCCCGAGCCACTCCATCCCCCAGCGGGAGTCGCGCGCCAGCTTCCTCCGCCGGACCTGCCCTAGTCGGCGCATTCCCTTCCCAGAAGAGGAAATCGCCTCCTGGATTTTCCCGTCGCTCGGATGTTACCAGCTTTAAAAAAAAAAAAAAATCCCTCTTAAGTTCGTAGCGACTCCCTCTGTCACTGTCATGGGAAAGCTATTTTGAGGCTCCGTGTTGAACTCGGTAGACTTCCCAGGCAGCAAGCTTTAAAATAAAAAAAAAAAAAGGTTCAGCTGACACGAATGTTTCCTCCCCCGCGCCTGCACTTGGGAGTTCTAGCGATTGTTCCAGACGCTGGGTTGATAAAGCTGTTCCTAGTATTTGGCTTCGGGGGAACTCCAACTGAGAGTTAGGACTGTCTTGAGTGAACAGAAAGTACCTACAAGTTTTAGCAGCTTGAGCCTGTGCTATGTGCGTGTTTTCTCTGGTTTCTCGGGAGAGTAATTTACTAAATGTCTTACTGCACACGGCCATAGAAACAAGAAAAACTTTCTGAGTGTTGGCCTTGAGAATCTGGCCACAGGCGTTTTATCCATCCACTTGTGATTACTGGGGAAGGGAGAAGGGGCTTTTCTGATCTGAAGCCTGGGGGTGGGGTGAGGATGTTGTGGCCCCTTTCGTGACTGCAGGAAGGACTGTGTCTCAGGCACTTGTTGCCCATGTGACGATTAAGAGTTTCAACCTGCACGCGCTGCATACAGCACTGTTTCAGAATTGTAACTTGAGGGCTTTTCTGTGACAGATTTGAATACCCTTTAAATTTGTGGCCACTTCGATTTTGAAAGAAGTTGTTCAAATTTTTGCCTCTTGGAGGAGAATAAATAGTGCCTAGAAAGGGGAATGCCCCTCAGATTTGTGTTCAAGAATAAGGCATAGCAGTTCACTCTTTTGGCCAGCACTTCTTGGCCATTGCAACACTTTTGCAGGTCTTTGCAATTTTAGGAATAGATTTTAAAGACCTGGTAAATAGTTCTTGTTTCTAAGCTAATAGCAAATTAGAGGTGATTTCTCAGTGTTTTATATTAACATAGCTTTACTTTATGTGAGTTACAAGTCTAACTATGAACGAATTTCCGTTGACTTAAAGTTGACCATTTCAAGATATAACATTGATTTCTTTAGCTTGGTGGGTTTCTCTTCCTAGCATCTGTAGATCTTACAGAAACAAATTTTTGTGCATTACGCTACTCTCCCTCCCACAAGATATTTAGCAATATACTCTTTAGACTAATATATACACCCTTGCTAATAGGGGAATGTAAGCTATGACTTCTTGTAAGGCTATTTTCAATATTCATTTTGCAGTCAAAACAAGTTGGCAGTGGATACATCCTACAATATTTAATTAACGCAGTGCTTACTCGGTTCACACAGAGGGAATTAGTCATGAAACTCTTAACCTACTAAGGAACCATGAACTTTGTACTGTCTCTTCTATTAATTCACGTAGAAAGGCATATGAATTCTAAATGTTAGAATAGATAAGAGGCTGTAACAAATCTTTATTTGCAAGTAAGAATATCTGCTAACTCTATTTTAGCTTATGAAAAGCCAAGCCTGTGTCTGTAGCATCTCATGAAGTGGATGCCTGAGGCACCATGTAAGGTTAAAAAAAAAAACACCCCTAATAGAACATAATATTTTCTACTTGGTTGCCAGGTCATCTTCTATTCACTTCTGTAGCTGACTCTAAGCATTGTTTTTTTCATCGGTGTTAATTAAAACAGTTACTCATTGTAGTTAGGAAAATGATTTTCATTTAAGTCATCACAATCCGGAAAAGCAAAGGGAAAAATTGTTTTAACTTGCCAAAGAGAAAGAGTAAACCTAAAAATACTGAATGGCACTCAAAATACTGCTTTAGCTTAATTTTCCCTTTGCAGTATAGTTACATGGGACTATATCCTGTAAACATAGTGACTCCCTAAAAAAGTTTATTTGAAAGGTGTAAAGCTTTTGTATTACTTCTAAAAAGCTTGAAAAGTAGTGGCAATTAGATTTTTAAGACATGCTCCCTTTCATGTCTTAACACTGCATTCCTGCAGTGGAATTCCTTTTAAGGAATTGTGACTGAATGGACAGATTTTTTTTTTAGTAACATATTTGCTATGAAAGTTCTCTTTCAACCTAAAGACCTTCAAGTTTTTTTAACTGGACAGCAAGAGGGCAGTATATCAACTATCCGATAAACTAAAATTTAACTGGACATTTGGGCAGAAAAAGTAGACTTGGCTCGGTGACTTTTGCTTTTGTCTTCTGGCTAGCACTTTGATATATGCTGTATGACCAAACAAACCTTAATTTCTCAGAATTGATTTTACTTTTAAAAAATGAATAAAGTTTCAAAAAGTAACTATACCTGGAATTATCAAAGGTATGTAAAATGTGTTCTCTCATACTTAATCTACTCTTGGGAGTGGGAATTAGAAAGCCTTTGATATTGTGTATCAAAATGTAGCTCATGTTGGATAACCAGCATCATCTATAAGAAATCATAAAAAGTTATAAAGCTGAGCTAATAATTCTACTTCTAAGAAATTTACCTAAAGTAGTAATTAAACACAAAAATGTATATCTGTGTGTGTGTGTATGTGTTTAGTCGCTAAGTCATGTCCACCTCTTGAGACCCCATGGACTAGAGCCTGCCAGGCTCCTCTGTTCATGGGGTTCTCCAGGGAAGAATACTGGAGTGGGTTGCCATTTCCTTCTCCAACAAAAATGTATATGGGGAAACAAAAAACAAAGGGTTTACACCCTAGTATAGCATCACGGTGTCATCTGTCCTCAGATTTGGAGGGTGTAACGGGGGCCTTTTACCCCCTCCTGGAGCACAGGTGTAAAGACTAATTCTGTTCTTTTCCATTATCTTGCCATTCCCTTCTTCTCATCTATTTGCACAGCCTTCCCTGGGAATCTGCATTACCTATAGCAAGGCTTCTTGAACTATTTTTAACTCTTTGAAAATATTATATCGAAACTAAAAAAATGAAACAAAGCACCAGCCTTTCTTTACTGATTTTTTGGAATTCTGTCAACCCAACCTAATAACACTGGACAGCTCATGTTTAATAGAAGTTGTTGTCAGCATCTTAGTCTAGTATCATAATAATTGGAAAGAGTTTTAATACAGCCTGATAGACAAAGTTGTCAAAATATAGACAGCTATAGGCTAGTACAAATTGCACAGGCTCTGGGGTCAGGTAGTCTTGAGTGCTGATCCTAACTCTGTTTCTTCTTAGTTGGTTAATCCTTGGCAAGTTACTTAGCCTTTTAAAGATTCAGAGTTTTCCCTTTGACAGGGGGGAAGGGGGAACAATGAAACTATTAAATAAAATAACCCTTATGGAGCTACAGAGGATAACTCATTTTACTTCCAAGCACAGTTCTAAGTGTTTTGCACATATTAATACACTTAATGGAATTCTGAGGTGGATTCTTTTGTTATCCCCATTTACAGATGAGGAATCTAAAGCACCAAAAGGTTGTGTGATTTGCCCAGGGCGTACACCAAATAATGGAGACAGAAGTTAAACTCACATCATCCAGTTCTAGCACCTAAGCTCTTCACCACTTCATGGGAGTACCTCTCCAGCCAGAATAGTGCCTCGTCCTTTGTAGGTGCTCATCAAATGGTTCTCAGGATTTCTGAGAAGGAAAAAAAAAGATCTCTATCATGGTAAAAAGATTGAAGATTACTGTCTTAATCCACTGTTTGTCATGGTGGCAGGCAGGAATTTTATATAGAAATGAGACAGGCTGGGGATACATTGTCTACAACATTGGCTGGAGAGTTACATTTTGTTTTCTAGAACTCTGGTTGATGCTTGAACAACACTTGTTCAAACTGCATGAATCCGCTTATAGGTGGATTTTTTTTTCCCCAATAAATACTACAGCATTATGTCATCAGAGCTTGATTGAATAAGTGGGTATAAACAAAGACCATGAAGTTGTATGTGGATTTTTACCTGCATGGGGTCAGCAGCCCTAACCCCCATGTTGTTCAAGGGTCAGCTGTGTATCTGGCACATAGACTGAGAATTTTCCTTCAGTGTGATTATTCACAGGAGGGACCTGGTTAATTAGATTGTGAATTGCTTTTAGACCTCAACTTGTTACCTTGTAAATTCCAGTAATGGTTTGAATTTGAAAGCATCCTACCTACCCTTGAAAGCCATGGTTTTCCATAGGTGAACAAAGCCTCATTTGTTTTTCCAGTCATTAATGATGAAACATAGTCACTTGACTGAGGGCGTGGGGATGTACAAATAATATGCTTTTTAAATTCTGTTCTTCCTGTGAAATAGAAATTGCCACACTGAACATTTGGAGGTACAGTTGACCCCTTGAATAGCACAGGTTTGAACTGCACAGGTCCACTTATATGCAGTTGTTTTTGTTTTTCTTTTTTCAGTACAGGATCTGTGGTTGTTGACTTCAAGAATGTGGAACTCTGAGAACAGAGGGCCAACTTGGATTTTTTATCATGTGGGGGTTAGCACCCCTTACACCAGGTTGTTCACGGGTCAGCTGTACTCAATAGAATTTTAGGTCTGGAGAAGGAAACTGAGGTCCAAATGGTTACATCGCCTTAAATCACGTATCGAATAGTTTCTCA